GGTAGGTGGGAGTGAATTTCAGAAAGTGGGGAGCTGGGCTAAGAGAAATAGTATATCATAGTCATCCAAGAGGATGGTCTGCTATGCCAGCTTTTATCCACTGCTTGGCAGGTGCAAGCAGAACTTTGCGAGTAGAGCCCATTGCCAGAGTCCTGAGAGCCACACATTTCCTCGTTTCTTTTTAAAAAAAAAAACCTTATAGTAAACAATCAACTGATATTGATTTGATTTTCCAAGTATTTAGACTTTCCTACTGCTCAAAGTATGAGCTGACCTACTAATTCTATCATTCCAGTTAATTTTGCATTTTCAATCCTCCCAAAATAATAAATAAACCTTTTTGTATCAGTGTCCTTTGTTGGTTTGAGTCTCTGAACCAACTTGTCACAATCAATTCATTATAAATTGGCAAAATAGAGTGTGTTTCTTTCTTTTTTGTTTTTTTTTTGTTGTTGTTGTTTTTGAGACGGAGTTTCACTCTTTTCGCCCAGGCTGGAGAACAAAGGCGCAATCTCGGCTCACTGCAACCTCTGCCTCCCCAATTCAAGCAATTCCCTTGCCCTAGCCTCCCCAGTAGCCAGCATTACAGGCAACCGCCACCACACCTGGCTAATTTTTGTATTTTTAGTAGAGACAGGATTTCTCCATGTTGGCCAGGCCTTGGTCTTGAACTCCTGGCCTCAGCTAATCCACCTGTCTTGGCCTCCCAAAGTGTTGGGATTACAGGCATGAGCCACTGCGCCCGGCAGAGCGTGTTACTTTCAAATTGAAGACTATGCTATAGATCTGGACTGAAACAACCTGTCTTCTTCACTTTGCTCTTAACTGCCAAGTCTCGCCTTAAGTCTGGGCTTTCTTGTATTCATCTGTTCATATTCTGATAACTCTCAAATTTATTTATTTTTATTTTTTATTTTATTTATTTATTTATTTATTTTGAGACATGATTTGACTCCGGTAGCCCGGGCTGGAGTGCAGTGAAGCAATCTCAGCTCACTGCAGCCTTGACCTCCTGGACTCAAGTGATCCTCGTATCTCAGACTCCAAAGTAGCTGAGACTACAGGCTCCTGCCACCATGGCTGGCAAATTTTTTTTTGTTTTTTTTTTTTTTGTTTTTTTTAGAGAGAGAGGGTTTCACCATATTGCTCAGGCTGGTCTGGAACTCCTGGGTTTGAGCGATCTGCCTGCCTCAGCTTCCCAAAGTGTTGGAATTACAGGCATAAGCCCCCACACCCAGCCTGACTCTCAAACTTATATCACTAGCTACAGCTCTCCTCCCAACTCCAGACTTAAAAAAACTGAAAGTAGAATTACCGTGCAATTGGGCAATCCCGCTTCAGGGTAGATACACAAAATAATTGAAAGCAAGATCAATCCCAAATGTCCATCAACAAACAGATAAAGAAAATGTGGTATACAAATACAATGGGGCCAGGCGCAGTGGCTCATGCCTATAATCCCAGCACTTTAGGAGGCTGAAGTGGGTGGATAACTTGAGGTCAGGAGTTCAAGACCAGCCTGGTCAACATGGTGAAACCCCATCTCTACTAAAAATAAAACAACAGCAACAAAAAATTAGCCAGGCATGGTAGCGCACACCTGTAATCCCAGCTATTTTGGAGGCTGAGACAGGAGAGTCTCTTGAACCTGGGAGACGGAGGTTGCAGTGAGCCAAGATCACGCCATTGCACTCCAGCCTGGGAAACAAGAGCAAAAACTCTGTCTCAAAATAAATACGTACATACATACAATGGAATATTAGCCCTAAAAAAAAGGAAACTCTGACACATGCTACAACATGGATGAATCTGGAGGACACCGTGCTAAGTGAGATAAGCCAGCCACAAAAAGGCAAATTCTGACTATTTATATGAGGTATAGTACTCGAACTCCCATTAGAAGAACGTAGAGTGGTAGAATGGTTTTTACTGGGGTTAGAGAGAAGAGAAATGATTTTTTTTTTTTTTGTGGGTATACAATGTCAATTTTTTGAGATGAAAAATTTCTTTCTTTCTTTCATTTTTGTAGAGATTGGGTTCCCCCATGTTTCCCAGGCTTGGTCTTGAACTCCTGGGCTCGAGCAATCCACTTGCCTCAGCTTCCCAAATAACCAGAATTACAGGCATTAGATACCACCCCCAGCCTTGATGAAAAATTTCTGAAGATTCACAATAATGCGAATATATTTAACACCACTGCACTGTACACTTAGAAATGATTAAGATGGGCCAGGCCCAGTGGCTCATGTCTGTAATCCCGGCACTTTGGGGGGCCAAGGTGGGTGGATCACATAAGGTCAGGAGTTCGAGAGCAGCCTGCCCAATATGGTGAAACCCCATCTCCACTAAAAATACAAAAATTGTCTGGGTGTGGTGGCGCGCACCTGTAGTCCTAGCTACTCGGGAGGCTGAGGCAGAAGAATCGCTTGAACCAGGAGGCAGAGGTTGCAGTGAGCCGAGATTGCGCCACTGTACTCCAGTCTGGGCGACAGAGTGAAACTCTGTCAAAAAAAAAAAAAAAAAGAACTGATTAAGATGGTATAATAAATTTTAGGTTCTACTGATTTTACCGTAATTTAAAACATTTTTTAAAAATAATATTTCTTTTGCTTTCTTTGGCTTTTTCTTTTGGTGCTTGGAAATGAGCATTGATGTTGCTGATTGCGCAGTCAACAGTTATAGATTCACCTCTTAATGAATGGCAAAGTCTTCGTAGAGGTTAAGGTTGACTTTGGAAGAAAGATAAGTTGTACAGCACAGGCATGGTATTCTCCTGGGAAAAGGAGTCCTTCCTAGGCTCACAGCACTGTGCACCATGTACAGAGCAAACACGCATTTTGGGGAAATGCCCTCATACTATGAATGAATTCAAAGTTAGTATGGGGTAGGATCTAAATCTTGTGATCTCTTTCTTCTAAAGGACTACCTTTCATCAGGTTTTAAAAATTACTCCTCTAGTTTCTGTAGTATGCGTTTTTTCATTCTAGAATGTGAAAATACTGCCAACAATAACCTAAGGACAGCCCATATTCACAGCGACAAGAAGTTCAGTGTTGGCTATAAGCTCTGTCATGCTATGGGCAGGAGGCCTTCTCTAAAGCTAGGTCTGCTTTGTGTCAAGCATTTCAAGCATGACTTGCTTGTTTCATCTGCCCCATTTATATTCCTTGTACCTAGAAACGAATGTGATAAAAGTTTTGGTGCCTACAGGAACTATATTTACCCAGTTCATGTTGGCTTCCCGCTCAGAGGGAAGTCTGATTGCCTTCCTGCACTTGAGAAGTTTAGAGAATGTGCCAGTGAATGTGCACACTCACAAGGTGTGTGTGTATCAGTGTCAATACCCAACAATTGAGCCTACTATTTGCTTGGGCAAAGAATCAATCAACACCATTTTCTCTTGAGCTTCTAATACGTGTGAAATATTTGAAGATTTCAATATTGTGTACAAAGAACTAGTAGATGTGAGAATTGTGACAAAATATCATGAGAACACAAACAGAGTAGACAGATGAGTGGGCTACTTCCAAGACTGGTTCTGGGGGCAGAAAACGAGACCAGGCATAAGACTCCAAAGAGCAGCTGAGATCCTAGTGGCCACTTTAAATCCCTATTCCTAGCACTGTGGAGAACACAAAAATGTATGATGTCTGGTTTCTCTTTTTTTTTTTTTTTTTTGAGATGGATTCTCCCTCTGTCGCCCAGGCTGGAGTGCAGTGGTGCAATCTCAGCTCACTGCTACTTCCGCCTTCCAGGTTCAAGCGATTCTCCTGCATCAGCCTCCCCAGTAGCTGGGATTACAGGTGTGCACCACCACGCCCAGCTAATTTTTGTATTTTTAGTAAAGACGGGGTTTCACCAAGTTGGTCAGGCTGATCTCGAATGCCTGACCTCGTGATCCGCCCGCCTCGGCCTCCCTAAGTGCTGGGATTACAGGCGTGAGCCACCGCGCCCGGTAGTTTCTTCTCTTACGGATTTTTTTT